CGGGGCAGCGGGGCCGGCCGGCCCTGCAGGGCTCCGCGGCCACGGAGCTTCAGCCTAAAAACTCCCCTGGGTGTCCCCGAGCACCTGGGGCTCTGCAGGGACATGCCCAGCCTCAGGCACCCGGCGTGCTGGGGAGCGCAGCAGCCTCTTCTGCAGGTGTTTCTGTGGGATGCAGGAGTGGGCTGGAGCCAGGCAAAGGTTGTGAAGTGCCTGGGGAGACCTTCAGTCTCTCTCTGACTCCCCCTCACTCCTTTGCCAGATCCCCTGACCATATCCCCTCACATGGTCTATTGAAACCCCTGCCAAGAGGGGAGCTGGAGGGGACAGCAGGACCTGGCGCTTGCGGTAGAGGTCTTTGCCTGCCTGCAGTGAGGTTTTGGGTGCAGCCCCTTGCAGTGCTTTTGCTGCTCCTTTTGCTCCACTGATCTGAGTGTTTGTTTGCTTGTTTATTCGTGGTTCCACTCAAGGTCAGCGCTGGCAGGGCTTTTCTGGGGACACCTTGCCCGAAAGGGTCAGTTGCACTGACCCACTAGCAGTACCCTTTCCTGGACTCTGCCTCTCAGTGCCATCCAGCACGAGGCTCTGTCCTGCTCATTGCATTTCCATCCCAGCAGTGCCAGGCTGCACGCAGACAGGCGTAGCTGGCTTGCAGGCTGTGTTTCTGGGGTCTGGGAGGTTGGACATGATGCTGTTACAGATGGACCACACAATGCCCCAGAGGTCTAGATGGTCCCTTGTTGGTCCAGGGATGCAGGGCTGGAGCAGACGGGTGCCTTTTGGGGCCGGAGGGAGCACTGGAGTCTGTGCAGGAGAATGCACTGCAGCCCCCCCCCAGCTCTGCACTGTGCCGGGGGGGCTGCAGCCCGCTCCCTGTGCCTGCTACCAGGCAGGCTTTTGGCTTTCCCAAGGGTCTCCCGGAGCTCCCGGCACAGGGATTGTCTGGCAGGGACTGTGGACACCCTGGGAGGGGCGGGGGGGGGAGTTGAGGCATCCTGTCCCTGGCCACAAAGATGCCCCCTGCTCTTCCAGGCCCTGCACCAGCTGCTGGTGTCCCAGGGTCTTGCTGAGAGCAGCAGAGTTTTGGCTGAAGAAACCTTGGTGCCATTTCTAACCAAATCCTTATGCCATTTCTAACCAAAAGGCCAAGCCGCAGCTGCCCTTCTGCCCAGCCCTGCTGCAGACAGCCTGGCAGAGCTCTTCACCCGGGCTGGAGCGGCCCCAGCACTGGCAGCCCCACAAGAGCTGGGGAAGGAAGAGACCCTCCCCGAGAGGCAATGGGGCAGGCACGGCTGCTGCCTGCAGTGTCCAGGCTGAGCATTTGTGCCCTGCCCAGCGCAGAGGCACCTAGCTGGGCAGGGAAAGGGGACCCAGCGATGGGAGGGAGCTTTGCTGCAGCTTGAGACCACAGCCATTTCCATGGCAAAGATCTGGCTATCAGAGAAGCTGTTTAAATGCAGCCATCCAAAGTGCCTGTGCTAGAAATCCTGAGCCTGCAGGGACAGCTGATCAAAGAGAGGATAATCCTGGGTTTAGGAAGGAAGAGGATAGGTCTGAAGTAGCAGTTGGTCCAATTTGGGTCAGGCAGTGAAAGAATGCAACCCAAAAGGCCACTCAGTGTGCCTGCTGGCTGCAAGGGCCGAGCGCAGCCCCGGGGAAGGGCAGCATCCCGCCCCGCTGCAGCGCTGCACCCCAGGACCTGGCACTGCTGCTGGCGCCAGTGCCACGCAGCCGCCGGCACTGCCCCTGGACAGGGGGGTCTGCCTGGAGCCCCTGCCTGGGGCTCTGCCCTGGGCAGCGGGCAGAACCCTCACCCAGGGCAGAGGAAACCCTGGGACCCAGCAAACAAGCTGCAGTCCCGTGCAAAGGCACCAAGTGCCCCGCTATGTCCCCTTGGCCGTTTCATCTGCCTTGGACACCTCCAGGCCCAGAGTGCCAGGACCAGTGAGCATGCAGTCTTGTCCCTGTGATGGCCCGAGGGGGACAGAAGGGGTCCACGGCCTCCCTTCTGCCAGGTGCTCCAGCAAAATGGCAGCAGCTGGAAGCATCAGTGCTGGGCGTTGAGCTCGCCGTGCCCTGCGGGTTGCACAGAGCTGCCGGAGCTGCGCAGTGACCCTGGGGCTGCTCCTTGCAGACAGCAATGGGCAGAGTCCCAGGGAGCTGGAGGAGGCTGCTTGCCAGCCAGTGCCATCGAATGCGCTGTCAAAAGTCAAGGTGCCCTGGGCTCCTCGGGATGAGCTCTGATGCAGCCCTGTGGCCCGGGCACCTTGAGCATGACTGGCGATGGTCTCTCTGCTTCCCGGCCTGGGGCTCCACAGCTTGGGCTGAGCTGGGGCTTGCGGGGACCAGTGCTGGGCACGAGGCCCCAGCTCTCGCTGGAGGCTCCTGTGGTGGAGCTGCTGGTGCCGAGCTCAGGGCAGAGGGCTGGGAGGGCTCAGTGGGTCTGCGCCACAGCAGGGCAGGGGGCACCGGGCAGGGGACACTGTTCGGGCACCGCATCCCCTGGGGAGGGAGGACGGCAGCGGTGGAGCGGGCAGCTGGCCCGGGCTCCCACGGAGCGCCCGGCCGGCGGGCGCGGGGTCTGCGGTGCAGGGTGGAGGGCGGCCCGGCTGCCCGGGGTGCTAATCTGGTTAATTGGCCCTTGGGGTTTGCCCACGCCCCTTCCCTCCTTCCGTTGGTGCTCGGCGCTCTCCACCCAGCAAATCGGGAGGAAGGGCCCTGAGGATTCCCAGCCTTCCCAGCCCAGCCTGGGGCTGAGCAAGGAGCCGTTAGGGGATCAAACCCTGGTGCTGCTGCCCTGCAGGGTGGGCACAGCCGGCAGCTGGGCAGCACTTCTGCCCCTCAGGATGATGCCAGGGATGAGGCTGGGGGCCAGGTCGGGGATGCCCCAGCACTGGGCGGGAGGGCAGCCCCAGCGCACGTGGGATTATGCGATAGCCGCACCGGGGCTGTTGTTTCCCTGCCAGCAGCCCGGCCGCCAGCCCTTCCAGCCGCCGCAGCAACTTAC